ACCATTCCCATCCGATGAAGACGTTGACGACCAACCTATTCGTAATGGGTAAGCACACCCTTCCACCAAATATTTGACGTCTCGCGAGTCATCGTTTCGGCTGAGGTTGTGATGCCCACATATGCATATGTACCACGATCGCTCGTCCAAAGCCTTGCTCAAAGCAAGCGCTCAAAGGGTATCCACGGGCGTGAGTATAGGCGATCTCTGCACACAATGTGTGTGTGTCCCACGACTAGCGTACACCACATCGGCAACACGTTCACATGTATGCTGACCTTCCTGAGGCTGCTTGAGCTGCATGGCCAGCTGAGCCTTCAGGTAGCTTGATCTCCTCGTCCTTGTCCTGATTGGCCTTAACGAGCTGAGCGTTGTCCTGTCATCATTTGCCCACCGCACAGAGCGCAAGGGGGCGGAGGACGCGATGGTGGTGGTATCATTACATGTTGTCACAGCTACTGCGGCTCCACACTCATCTTGATCTACCTTAGGTTTGGCCCTCGAGGTTGGGTACCTGAAGCGTTGTTCACGATAGAGAGCACTGCTTTGCTGGGTAGAGCGTGACCAGGGCGTCATTCAAACGTGCGTCGAATGTTTTCTACCCCATCGACCTCACCGTGTAGAACCGCGGTAGGATTGCAACAACGTCAACCGGAGAAACCTACTAGGAATTCTCGTGAAATTGTGTACTCAGTGCGCACACAGTTAGCAGCAGCAGCAGCAGCAGCAGCAGTTTCCCTCCTGTTGTCATCCTGTCACAACCCACTGCATGACCCACCTGCTTCAGAGAGGATATCTCCGCATCCTTGTGGCTGAGCGCCGTCTCTCCGTCCCGAAGAGAGCAGAGGAAGTCGGATCGAAACTGGTCATAGAGGTCGTGGCCAGTCTGCACCTGTGGTCACGAGCGTCGAGCCAGCGATGTAGCGGAAACACCGTATCAGTGGGTAGATACAATGCACGTTCCACCCGCACAGCCTGAACCCGTATGCTTATGGTACCAAGCACTTGAACAAAGCGTCAAGTGTGGTAGGCGTACTACTATAGTGGCTACAGCACAAACACAGGGTGTGTGTGCGATCGATTGCGGTTGTGCGTGGGCTGAGAAATGGTCTCGCCCGAAATACACCGTCTTAGAGCATTACTTCGCAACGTTTGCTTTGTTGCGTTTCGAATCAGGAAAGGAGAGCATCGCCAAGGGTATAGTTTCCATTGAGTCGGTATTCCCTCTCACATGACAAACGTCAAGAGACTCTAGACATCCTAAACTGGTACCCCCCCCCCCCCCCTCTACCAATAGTTGACTCACATCTGCCTCCAAGCAGGCAAGTTTGTTCTCGAGCAGGGCATTGGCGCCGGTAAGCGAGTCCACGGTTCTTTCGGCGCACCACATGTAGTGCGAGAAATCCCTCACGGTCGCGGCGTTCGACCGCTGAAGGTCGCTGAACTGGAGGTGGAGAGTGAATAGCTGCAAGACCGTGACGTTCGCGAAAGTGGAAGACAGGCGACGTCATAAGAAGACCAAAGGAGGGGGGGCAAGGGAGGGAGGAGGAGGGCATATGCTTCAGATCGATTTAGTCATCGAACTCAAAACTGAAACACCACGTAGCTACTGTAAGAGAACAGCAAATTGTCATCCCCGTTCTGCTGCGTGCGGGATATATAGAAGTATATATTCGTATTCTGTCGTCCACATGGCCCATGTGGAGGAGGTAGCACAGTATGTGGGTCTGTCATCAAAGTTCATTATCTAACGGCGGCCGCCGAATCATGGTGAGTCCAACGAAATGATAGGACTTTACGGCTGCCAAGAAACTCACGACAAGAGCCGGAGGATGCTTAATAACACCGACAGGGGTGTGATCGGGGTGTGTCCTCACCTGCTTGTCTTGCAGCTTGATCCTTTGCCGGTACGAGGCTTGAAGGTTACTGAAATGCACACAAAGGAGATACAGCAGCAGCAGCAGCAGCAGCAGGAGCATGTTTACCAAAAAAATGTTTGACGCAGTTGAAACAAGAGCGGTAGCTGATTCTACCTCAAACCACAGCAGAGTTGAGCTCAACTTCGTTCGAATGACGCTTCAGCTGGTGCCGTTCCTCAAGGGCCGTGAGGTTTAGCTCTAATTTCACCCCGCCGGTACGGATGGGAGAGTGACTGATCCTGACACATGCACACACCAACATCCACACAAACATCTCTTGCTGCGAGTGAACGCCCCTTGGCGTACTGTGGGTGGGAGAGACTTGTGCTTGGTAAGTACATCTTGCCATACCCAACATCTTCATCCCCCGTGACTTCCGCCTGTCAATGTTTTCTCCCCAGATAACACCCAGCCTAGACCGGCATGTAACACTGCACAACCCTATGTAGCCATGTCTATTGAAAATTGTTCGTGTTTACTTACGTCGATTGGACGTCCAAAATGGACGCCAGTTCCACCATCCGGCACTTGACCCGGAGCTTCTTCTTGAGCGCCTTGACCTGCGCCTTGTGCTTCGCGGACATCACAACTCGCCTGGTGTTGCCGAATTGTACGGCAGTGCGAAGGCAACGCTCGGCCAACCCATAGAAGTGAGCCTAGGGTACAAACGAATTGTGAACGCAAACAGAATATATATTGCAACACAGGAGCAGAGAGGGATGTTAGCGATGGCGCTGGTTCTTCTTTCGCATGGTACGCGTGGCACGAGATTTCAGGCGATGGGTGCTGCCCGTTGCATCGAGCTCTGCGTGAGTAAACCTCTCCCGGGCGTGGATGCACTCAGTCCTATTTGCAGCTAAGCTTTCAACGGAGCAGACAGGAGCGAAGTGTTTCCTCGTTCTCACGCCGAATGTTCCATCGGCACACACTGCCCACACACTACCGTAGCTACAGTGATGTTTTTCTGCAGACATGCCGTGCAGCTCTTCCATATACCTGGTACACCGTACGTGTCAAATCCACACCCATCTCACGTGAAGGAGAATTACGAGGACGAAGCCAAGCGTCTTAACGAATGAATCGAAGAGCATCGTGGTGAACATTAAGGCCTGTGGGGTTGACATGTCATGCGGAGGCGGCGGTGTGGTGAGGTGGACACAGCAGGGACAGGTTAGCTTTCGGTCGAACCCTATCTCGTGGGAGACTATCAAACCAGGTTCCATGCAATCCTGGGACGGGTTCTCGCCAGACGTAACTTATGAGGACAGCACCCTCTGTTATTTTAAGACAGATAACGCTTATCTGTTAACAGCATATCGGGCACCGAAGGAGATTTGATACCAGACCGCCAGCCCTTCGGGCCTTTTTTCTGTCTCAAGAGGACAGATCAAACGAGGCGCGAAATTTGGGTGAACTGCACCACATGCTGCTGCACGACTCGTTAATCGACGAAGGATGGGAAAAAAGCGAACATAAACAGGAATGATAGTCAATTCCCGCCCTAACGAAGCCTGGCCTCACCATAATGTCGATGACGATGTCCCTGCCCGAAAACGCGGACAAAATCAACGCGATCAGCGTCCAGATGATGGACGCCCAGGGGAACTCGCTGTTCGTTCACGTAGCGACATATAGCAGAAACGGCCCGAGAAGACACAGGTGGTTTGATCATCGACGGTTGCATTCGACACGAGATGCTCCAGACCACGCGAAGCAATGCGCGCTGCTCTGACGATGCAACGAACGTTGAGTGATGTCACACCACTACAGTACTACAGGACAATTATCACTCAGTGACTCTCGTCTATCATATGATGTACTGGCCAGCTATCGCGTGATCGTTCGCTCAAGACTATTTAGCCGAATTTCTCCGAAGACGTGAACGAACGGCGAATCAACTAGTGACGGCTGTAGGGTGCACACGGTCCGAGCCATGAACCCCGCGCAGGGGTCGAGTCTCAAAGCGCGGCAGCTCAGTGAGTCGCCGCGCGTGCCTGTTGTGTGTCTAACTTAGCCACCGGTCAACGGACGCCACAGCTATCACGGTAGGTAGTGATCGTTGTAGTCTTTACTCAGACAAAAGAAATTCTTCGTGGTGACCGGTGCTATTGAAAATAAAGTCAGGGGTGTATGACTTTGATGCGCCGACTTGACACGCTACCATAGCCGCGTCCTAACGTTCGCGCGTGGTGTGCGCTTGCACAGCCGAACGTTTCACTGACCTGGTGGTAATGCCGGTGGACAACGACTGTTCAGCGGCCGCCATCGTGACCGGGGTGCCCTCGGTGAAAACGGTCGTTGTCATGATACCCCAGGCGATCATCACCTGAAGGATGACGACCAGGATCGTCATCCGCACCAACGCGGACGGAGTTGGGACGGCCATGTCCAAGATTTCCGAGAAGTTCATGTTGAATGTTGTTGTTGTCTTGTCTTTTCTGTGCTGTTGCAGAGCAATAGTCTAGAGAGAAGGGGGAGGAGATGGAGTTGTGTGCTGGTGTGGGCGACCCAAAGGCGGCGCGTCTGTCGCGCGTCGGTTGCGGTTCGGGTTGACTCTTGCGAGTTAACCTATAGACTAGTCGCGTGCGGTTCAGTCTGACTCTTGCGAGATAACGTATAGATAGTCGATTGTGGTTCAGGCTGACTCTTGCATAGACGGTGCCACCGTTGTCCCAGCTTTGGCTCTTTCCAGCAGCAGACGGTGCCGACTCTTTTAGTGTTCTGACTAACGTACATGACGGATCCCATCTCTATCCGCAGATTAGAGTCCACAGGACTTTGTAAGGGGCATGTTCTGGAGTCGTCTGTTGAACCAACACCGTCGAGCAAATGAAGGCGGAGAAACACAGGATTCTACACAGTACAGGCAGGCGTACCCTATTAATAGGTACCTTTTTGTCAAATGCTCTTTGTTTGAAACGGCCCGGATACGATATTTGGCGATAAAATGTAGGTTACGTGTACTAAATGTATAGTGGAGAGCCCAATGTATGGGTCTCAGCATTCGACGTATACTGTAGACTGTATTCGACATCTGGATAGACTCTATCGCCGTGCCCCTATCGTATCGGGTCATCCCATATGTATGATCTCCTGAGAAAAGCAAGCAAGCGTATCAGATCGCGACTCCACGAACAAAAAGTTGTGGGTGTTGGATGCATCTACTTCTTCCGTTCCTCCGGCTGCCGCCACCTTCAAGATCTTCTAAAAGATCTCAAGGGGGTAGGGGTTGGGTCCGTTCGCGTTTCCTGGTCCATCGAGACTCTGGACGAAAGAGGACACACCCTGCCGGCCTACATGCATACAGAGTCACAAGCTGATGATCTCGAGTCCGGAAACTGCTGCTGAAACGCCAAATTGAAGGAACACGTCAACTTTGGGTTTCCAGCTTCCATTGTCCTCTGCCACTTCTTTTTCTACTCTTCGGTTTGTTCTACTGTTCTCCCTCTCTTTTGCGCGCTCTTTTGGCCATGAAGACCATCCAATGTGCCCTTTTTCTCCTTTTTGATAACAGGGGACGTCGACTCGTCACAGAAAAATGTGGAGGGCCGTGAACCGTGAACCCCTATTTCGTAGAACCTGGTTGCCATTTTCGTAGAACCTGGAGATCTGTCCATTTTTTGGAGATCGGTTGTTCACTCGCCCTCCGCACTCCGCACCAGTTGCCTTCCGCGCTAGGAGACAGCTCACAGGTTCAACGCCAGCTTCTGTCTGTCGACGCCTGCTGGTTTCCTTCTTGAGGTGATGGCTTCATCTGATTACCGATGTCCCTTTCAGAGCGTCCGAATTGCATCTGATGGCGACACACGCCGCTGGACTCCGCGGAGTGTATGTCCGTCTGCACAGCACCGAGTCTACGTGTTGTCTACATATACATACCAGCTGCGTTGTTGCGTTGTAGACGCGCAGCGGTTGCTCTCATGCTCTTTGAAGCAACCCACATAACAGGTACATGTAGGACAGCACATGTGGCCGTTCGACGTACAGCAGGGTTAACAATGATGATATTTTGAGGGTCACATCTCGGGGCGAGCTGCCGCATGTAATACCGTATATGACACAAGATAACACACCCCCTTGGCCGATTTTCAAAGCTCGATTTCTCAACAGCAGGAAGAGTCACAGCGCCGAAAACGGCGGCGTTGGAACCATCTCGTCGAGAGCTGTTCGAAAACGTATTGTTTCATTTATGCATCCTCTTCGTCGTGGAGTAATCGAGCTTTGAAAATCGGTCCAGGGGGTGTGTTATCTTGTGTCATATACGGTAATGTGGTTTGGCATACGCAGCAGTCGGCAGACGATGTAGACTATGCATTGGACAATGCACCATTAGCCGGTAGATGTAGACAGACTGCTGTGTCCCACCCAAGGTGCTCAGGGTACGACTGAAAACCTTGCTTCGTTTTGCTTTGGCCTCTGTAATGACGTCCATACATGCGTATGGCCGCCCAAGTGCAGGCGTAACTCAATCACTAATTCGCGATTTTTGCGGACTCGTACAAACATGCCGTCCGCACAGGACGCGTGGGAACTCGCTCTACAATAGAATCATGGCCAAGACTCGGGCGTGGTTTGAAGGCGAGCTCCGGCGCATGCTTGGCTTTGATGAGGTGCGGTGAACACTGGTATTGTGTTGGACTAGGGCGTCGGCGCTTGTCGAACACTCTTCAGACACGGAGGCTGAATACTGAATTGAAAACCCACGCCGAAAGAGATGTGAGCCTCGCCCACCGCGCACCGGTTGCAGCAGGGCCCACTCCACGCTCCGCCCGGCGCGCCTGCTGGTCCTTGTAGCCGTCGTCACAGTCAAAGCGAGCAAAACCCCCTGTAGATTCAGGGCCATCGTATCTACCGGCAAGTTTCTTCGCGCCATATTAGAGAGAAGTGTGTAGGCACTCGTCATAGTGTTTGTATTGAACCGCAATCAGGAATGACCATGCCACACTAAATCATGTTATATATATACTCACAGGTTGGTCGTCGTGACGTGATACATTTCTTCTTATTAGTATGGAAAAAAATAAAAAATAGATGGCTCGACTTTTGTATTTCTACAGCAGTATGGACCAGACGCCGACTGTACATAGAAGTTGCCGAGTGTCGACTTAGTTGTGCTGTCACAGCATCTTCCACGCACTTCTGCCAGTGCTGGTTTGTTGGTTGGAGTCTTGTAGGTCGAGATACAGCAGTGGGATTCTCGGGGTGTGGAGGCAAAGTGAACCAGAGCAAAAAATTGCATGCATAGCTCGATTACTCCTTCTGTGTTTTTGCAACAGCAGTATGGACTAGACGCCGAACGACGTCCGCGTACTACCGCAACGACCTAACTGGATGGGATGCTTCCTGCCACGGCGAACCATAGTACAAATGCGATGCAAACATCCGTTCGTGTGTCGCGCGGCTGCCACATGTGTCGACGACGACGACAGGGACACGTAGAGCTCTCGCCATGTTTTGTCGTTACCGCGCAGGAGGACCTCTCGGAGATCTTCCACATGGTGCTACAACGACAGCAGTACTACTGTACATAGATGTCGTAGGAGAGTGGAGTTGTGCTGTCACGGCATCTCCCACGCACTCTCCTACCGGTGCTTGTGTCGATTGGAGTCTTGTAGGCCGAAATACAAGAGTCGGTTGGGTTCCCGGGTTGTGGAAGAACCTGCCTGCAACAACAGAGAAGGCGGTGTTCTATTTACTACGACAATCCCGCTCAACTTTTTTTTTTTGCGGCATGTGGTTGCATATTTTTCTTTGCCACTGCCGAAAAAGACCGCTGGATCTTTACACAGTCCATCTTTCGCATTTATCATTTTACACCGCGAACGACGCAGGACGGGGCGACCTTCATCATTGTTGTTGTTGTTGTTGTGTCTTCACATTAAAAACCGTTCCGATCTCTCTCTACCCAGCCTTCATATGCCCGTACTTACTTGTGGATTATCTGTTGGAAATTGTGGGAATCCCTTCATTCCGAGAGAGCGATAATAGGTCGGCATCCGGCCTTATTTTCTTTTTTTGTATGCACTTTCAAGGAATAATAAAAACACACACAGAAAGACTACCCATTCGAGATATACCCACTTTTCTTCTTGTGAAGTTTTGACGTTGCGCTTGCCATCGTCGCTTAAGTGTTTGTGTCTTCAAACCTTCTCAGCCGGCCTTCAAACTTCTTGTTGATAAGTCTCCGTGGTAACTTCTCCGCGCATGAGTCATATGCAGTTATGACCTGCGCTTTGACTTTCACGATGGGTATTTACCCCACCGTCTTGCATTCATTGGTGAGTACCTGCGTTATACGAAAGGATCGTTCCACGACGCAAACGTCGACGTCTCCCTTTTTTTTTTTTTTCCTTCGCACTCCTTCCTTGCTGCGGTTTTCACACCGACTTCGAACGTGGGGTGCAATTTCCTCTCTTCGTACCTTCCTCGTCGGCCTTTTCCATCGTTATGTACATAATGTACATCTCGATTTTTCGACTTTTCGATCCATCGAATAGACAAGACTACGGACTGACATGTATGTCCCTTTCACCCCCGACGGGACCGCGCGCTCGTCGAGTGCCGAGATTCTTCACCACTTCCTTGCCGCTCCCAACACCGTCCCTTCTTCCCGCCCCTATAAATCATCTCCCCTTCTTCTTCTTCTTCCCTTCCTGCCGGATACTCACCACCATCGGTCCTGGATGTTGGCCCCCAGCCCCATTGGGGGGCGGGGGGCCAATCCTTAACCCTAGTTAGTAGTGTACCGTGCGCTACTCTCCCGTCTCCCGACGTCAACCTTCCCTCAGGTAGAAGGGATCGCGAGGTTTGCGCTGGACAGCTTCCCGGTGTCCCAGCCCGTTGAGCTTAGGCAGTACCTTGAGCGGGTTATTGTCCGAGCCGACTCCCCTCTGTGGGTTTCTCTCGCAATATGTCTTTTGCGAATCGCGCTGAGGGACGTCGCGATATCTCTCTTTAGTCACACGCCAGCATGCGAATATTTGAAGCTTTTCGTTGCGTGGTCGATTATTGTGACACACCGTCTGCTTACCGGCATGAAAAGAACGTCCCGGACCCTACCGTGTCTAACTTTCCCCATTCGTTGAAGTGTGATAGACTACATGTAGGCGCCTCTACACTGAAAGAGAACGAAGTGTCGGCTCATGTAAGACGTACTTCGAAGTACGTTGCACAGAGCAGTTTTCCTCCCAACCGCATGCAGAGCAGGGTCACATCAGTGGCCAAAATCTATGTTATTACCGGCTGCGATAAAACCGCCAACGTATTCTACCAGTGGCGCTCTTCTCTGGAAAAGCACAACGCACGTGTCTGCTAGCTTCTTTTTGGATTTCCTTGTGTGCGACACACCCACATAATAGCCATTCGGCAGCACGCTCGAAGAGTCTGAATCCCCGAGACTGTTGGCTGTTGACCAATAAGGTTGACTGGGATCGCAGATCTCGTAGATCTGCAATCCGACCAAAACCTGCAAATCGTCTGTCGGTGCTGTGCGTTTGTGTATACAATGTATGAGTCCTCTAGACTACTCTTTCGAGGATCATAGGATCATTGACCCTCGAAACTACCTTCCTCTTGCTCTCGATCACCCTTTCTCCCGAGAAATCGCAAACAAAGGGGTCCAATTCCGGAGCAACCGGTTGCGAGGGGGGTCAACGCATGACAGCTTCCGGTACATGCGTGCATCAGATGTATTTGTACAGTTCCGCCGCATTTTGGTAGCAGAGAGAGCCAAACTCGAGGGCAAAAAAGCCGATCTCCTACACTAATGTATTCAGCTTCCGTGGAAGTCAATACTGCCATGGAAACTACTCCCTACTTCCATGAAAGTGACACGTTTTTACTCCCATGGAAGCGCTGCACGACACTTCCATGGGAGTCAAGTTGACTTTCATGGACGTAAATATGAAAAAGGTGGATGTGCCACTAATATTAGACCATCTGACCAGTCAACGTTGACTGGCCAGATGGTCTAATTTGATCTGATAAAAGATATGCTCAGAGCTCGTTAACAACCGGCTGGGACACATGGGCTTGTGGCTTAATCACTGGGATTGAGACTAGGGATCTCCGGGGGCGGACCCCTCGCCAGTCGTTGCTTCTTGCAAAGGTAATTTTACGCAAAGAAAAGTGTCCCAGCCGGTATTCGAACTCGTGCAAGTATCCTTTATCCTTTATCAGATAAAATTAGACCATCTGACCAGTCAACGTTCACTGGTCAGATGGTCTAATTTTATCTGATACCACTTGCATGGAAATCGAATTTCCACGGAAGTCCTATTGGACTCCCATGGAAGTGGAGTAGCTTCCATGGAAGGTAAACCTAGAATTCCATGGAAGCTACTCAAAAGAGGGCAATGCCAGCTTCCATGGAAGTATTCAGCGTCGGATATAGCGTCCATGGAGGAAGTAAGTTCACGGACTTCCATGGAAGCTCTTTCGAATAGCATGAGGTAGCTTCCATGGAAGTCTGCAATGGTTTGCATCGCTTCCATGGAAGCCATCGACGAACACTTCCATGGAAGTCATCGAAAGAGCTTCCATGGAAGTATATTGCGTCCAGCCAACTTCCATGGAAGTACCCCCCGCAAGACTTCCGTGGAAGCAGTCGAAAAAGTCTGCGCCTGCTTCCATGGAAGTCTTGCCATCTAGACAAGCTTCCATGGAAGTTGATTTCCACCGCTGTCACCTGCTTCCATGAAAAAAGTTCTTGTAGTCAGCTTCCATGGAAGTGTTTCTGCTCCACGCCACACGCCTTATATGTAAACATTTTCGGCCGGTCCAGTATCCATGGGGAAGTTTGGAAATTTTACTTCTGGTCAGCTTCCACGCAGCAAGCATTCCACGTCCTGCCAGCTTCCATGTCAACGTCATCTCCAAAGACTCTTACGGTGCAGGGTGTGCACGTCTCTCTCTCTCTCTCTCTCTCTCTCTCTCTCTCTCTCTCTCTCTCTCTCTCTGACGTCGAGATCAGCTTTGATGAGTCGTGATAGCTGGATGTTCCTGGCTTAGCGCCGCTGACTTTCCCACGCGTGAAGATGCCACACACCAAGCCCCACCCCAACCTGCAGGGTTTTCACACACACGTATCATGGTCTCGCACGACGCTCGCTGGCTTGGAACTGTATGTAGACGCACCTATAATTATTCTGCTGGCGACGCCTCTTCCTCTGTAGAGGGAACCTCCTTTGGAAATTGCCCCCCCCATGATGCAAACATCATGTCTGTCGCTCGGTCTCTCCGTCTGATTGTCTCTCTCCCTCTCCCTCGCACCCTACCTATGTAAGTAATGATCGATCGGTTGATTGTTCGGAGATGCATACATACACGATGAAGTATCGACAACTCGGCAGGGGTTTCCTGCTACCCAGACGCAATGGCGACGGAGGTTGAAGCGATAAGGGGTACTGTAGTTTGCGAACAACCCTGCAGGTGGTCAATTTTGACCACAGGAACGAACGCTTGGGTCAAGCTACGGACGCGCGGACGCGCGTAATTGCGAACAACTGTACCTCCACGGAAACTGGCAATAGGTGGCATTCGTCCAATATTGGTGTGGGGTGATACGCCTTTTAGGTGGAAGTGGAGGAAGCGCGAGGTGAAGTGGTGGCAGTGGTGGAAGTCTTGGAAACCATCCAACTTCCACTACCATGAAAAGTGGGAACAGTTGGTGTTTGTCAACAGTGTCAGTCACGTGGAACACCTTAGATGGAAGTCATGGCAGCGCCTGTCTGAGTTAATTATGTGGACGTCGTGGAAGTGAAACAATTATTTCATGTAAACTCGCCTACGGTGGAACTTCCCTGATAGTCTCAGGTGGAGTGCCTTTGGTGGAAGTCGCGGCAGCGCTTGGCGGTACAACACGGAAGTCTAACCACTGAAGACTGCCCTTGCCTGCGTTATTTTATTCGCCATCTGTAATCGGCAGCATTGTAACGGCCCCACGTATAATCGTCCACGGCCTCCTTCGGTATACGGTCGACACACACAGTACTCGTGTTCCGTACCTGTCGTATCCGCCCCTGCTTACTTGGATTCGGCAGCAACGCCTTCCGTGTGGTCTTTCCCTGATGTAGCATTTTCGGGTACACACTATGAGGTCCCCGCCTCTTCTTGGACGTGTTTCATTGTTCTCCTTATCAATATATTAGAACGAATAGTAGTCAACATTGGGACTCGCAGGTACGACTACGACGTACAAATCCAAATCCCCACCATCCTCAACGTTTTCATCCATGCCATCCATATCACACCAAGTCAATCGAGCGACACCTCGGCATCGCATATAATATGTCCTGTCCTCGTGTTGGAATCCGCTTCCCTGGCGTTGCTCGCGTGTGGAAGTTTCGAACAGGGTTCCAGGATTTGCGAGAGTTGACCACATCATCCGCCCCTCGTCTATTGTTATATATATGTGGTCCTGACAAACATCGCACGACCCATGGCCCATGGGTAAGTGCCGCATTGTTGTCGGTGTTGTCTTCGCAATAAAAAAACCCGTTCCGGTCTCCGATCAGTACGTTAGGAGGTCCGTACTGGTCCAGCTGACGCGGACGCATTCCGTGTTAACAAGCCAAAGTCGGGGTGGTAGACCATTAAAAAAGACAAAAAACATGGTCCCCATAAACGTACTCCAAGGCGTTGACTTTCCACCCAAACGAAAAAGAAAAAACAAAGAAAAACCAAACGGGATAAGGACGATCGATCCCGATCGAAATGATAAACGAATAAGGTTTTCTCTGGAAGAGACAACAGAAGGAGATGAAGACAAAGAGAAGAAGAGGGAAGATAGACAGGTTCCCTCCAACGCTCCAGTCCAGCAGAAATAACGACGAAAAGTATAGGCAACTATTGACGCGACACCACACAGATGACTTACTTTAGACGACAATACAGTTATCACGAAAACCATTTCTGTACGAATTTCCGGGCATTCAACACAAAGAAACCACCGAGTTAAAATTGGGTATGTATCCGGTTGCTTGTCGTTGGTTGTATGTGGTGAACTCGCCTTGGGGCGAACCACTTCCGAGAGAATACCACGTCGTCATCCGATACCTCCTCCAATTCTGAAGCCCCCCCTCTGTGTTACGTGGACAATTCAACCGTCGAAGTTGGCATCTTCGGACAGGAGGTTCGAGTTTAGGAGAGTCTCGTTCCTGACCAGGATCGCATGGGTAAGGAAGAAGTCGCGTAGCACTCGGGGCATCTGTTTGACGGAGTGCCCGAAGCCTGGATGGGGGTGAGACAAAATGGAAGTAAACGCTTAAGAGACCAAGATGGCGGAGGATTGACTCATATACTCTAGGGCTGCCGAAGGTTCAAGACAACTATGTATATTCCACCACATCGCTATGTTAGAAGTGATCCACTCACAGGAACATAGTTCCAAGTACAACGCGACCCTATCGTACACTTCAGACAACCTAAAGTACGGACTCTATCGGGTAAGAAGCACTCCGTTTAGAACACAGTTTTGTTTCGGTACCAAAGCCTAGAAATACCGCGTAGAAACAAGGTGAGCGTCATTTGACACAACCCTCTCCCAGGTTTATGGTCGTGATATGCCCTTTGCGACATGTGCGGGAAGTTGGACTTTCCATTTCGTACATTGACGGCGCGGCCCCTGTCTCGGAGGAGGAGAGTATGCTTTTCCAATGCTACACATCAAGCACTCTACTCTATGGGCGGTCGCCTCGGTGGTGTTCTGGATAATGAAAATCCTCCGCGCTCTACGCAGGAGAAAGGTGGGGAACGCACATAAAAAAAAAATAAATAAAGAAGAAGAAAGTCCCGGTACCGACCCCTTTCTGTGCGACCCTGGATGCTTGTAGTTGTACGAAGAAATACACTGAAAAGCGCAGAACTCTTCATACATACGCAGATACACGTGTTGAAACACGACTCACTACACAAAATGGAGTGGCGGTTGCCATAATATATACGACGAAAACACGAACATCATATTCGGTACAAACCCGAGAGCCAGGAGGTGTTGCTTTCGGCCCGCGAGCTGTTCCACAGGAGCGTCTCTTGCCCTTCCGGGGTCACGTGCCACAGAGTCGGGTCGTCTCGTGCCTCAGATGAGTTGTGAAGGGCGCACTGTTCCTCCGCGTGTTGGCGAAAGTGGAACCTGGAAGTTTCGGTGGAAACAGGTAACATCAGTAGGGAGGTTGCTGGGGTTGGTCGTGACGAACGTCTCTGCGCGATGGTACCCATAAAAGTCGCACACCAGTGTGCGTGTAATCGACACAAACAATGGTGCTGGAGTCATGGCTGCACGATTTGAACCACCGATCATGAAGGAACGCGTACGAATGAATGGCCGGGCCGCGGGAATGTCAAGCGGGGCGTGAAAACCGGACAATGGTGCATCGGTGCATAACCCTCTCGTCGTGCTGGGAATCTCTCAGGGCCGCAGCCGACCATACCCTTGACGGAGGTTACAAGCGTTGTACACTTTACGATAATGCCCACCTGTCGACAATGTAGCGCGTCAGTAGCCATCCATCATCGGGATGGAGGATGCGGTAGGGTCGCATCCTGCACGCTAGGTCGTAGAACAGCAAGTCCGGCCTGCATCAAGGGTCTGGCCAGATGCTCTCCAGGGCCTCGCAGACGACCACCATACCTTCGTAAGCACAAAGGTTGGAGATTCCCGTGATGATGCCACAGCTTAGACTCCCCACGAGATGGCCATGGTACATGTGTCTTGAAAACATCAACCGTAGTAGGCGCACGTCAGCGGGCTGCGAACAGAGGCGCAGGGTAATGGCATACGTGTAAGCAGTTCGTATTACGTGGGTGGGTTGAAAACGCTAAAGATATTTCAATTGACTACGGAGATGTGGCGGTGCGGAAAGTGCAGCGTTGAAGCAATCATAGAGTTTCCCTCCGACCCACACAACAGGTGGCTCTTCCCCACGCTAGATGAGGCTTCGCTCGGGGGGTTACATCCCATATGCGCGACGAGGAAGATTAGCTGCCCCTCCACCCCCCCCCCGCCCTCGGTGTTTGCCAGCGAAGTTGGGTTTTCGTCGCTGGAAACGACGTTGTGATACAAGCCGATTACGTCGTGAGCTAGGTGACCCGGCTACAGCTTCCTTTCGCCTCTGATTTTTTGTGCGGTTACCATAATGGTGGTAGAGGGCTAGATGTTGTTGTTGTCTGTTAGAGATCCCCCACTCAGCGCAAAGGGGATGATCGCACCACGTTGTGTGAAATTGGTCAAACACCCTCAATGCAGTTTTACAGTTTGCTTACAACTGTCTCCGGAAGTGGAGGCACAAGAAGAAGCCGAACACCCTTAGCAGGATGCAGCGCACCCTTCATGCGACTCGCCGAATACCTCGCGGTGCCTCGCGCTTCGTGATGTGAGAGCCTGGTCCGGTGAGAACCCGACGTGCTCCGTCCCGGCTTTGTAGAGGTGCGAGGTCAATTGTCTAATGCCAACGGCATGCACGACTATGAGTACAACGAACGGTTGTGCTTACAACCCCCCCCTCTGAATAACTACTTGATCGCTCGGACCTCATCTGCAGTAGAGTAAAGCGAAAGTAGACTGCCATCCGCGTCTTCGTCGTTGTTCACCTTTCGTGCCGTTATCATGCCCGAATGAACATTACCTTTTCGTGTGCTGCCTCTGGTCTGTACAACGTACTCATCCACAACACATGCACGTTGTGACCCCCGACACCTCGTCTGCCCTCATAATTCCTAACGCCAGCGCACTCAGGTGCTTGCCAGTACCAGAGCTAAGACCGCTGCCGCCACGGCGACACCCTGGGTCCCCCTTATGTATGGAGTCCGCGACGTCTTTGGTGATTCGGACGACGACATTGACGACAACCGACCCATCCATCAAGTTGGGGACACGGATGATGACGGCGACGGCGAGGATGGGGCGAACGGCTGCAGCCGCGACGACTCTGACGATAGCGTCGCATGCGTAGATCCGCCTACCCTTTCTGACAAACAGAGGAAGGGAGGCCGCCCGACCCGCAAGGGACAACGGTCGACGTCTCCGCGGGCCGGCGCGGCCGGTTGTCCCGTCGACCTGGCGAGAGAGCAGCGGGGCGAGGAGGGGGCCACGCGGAAGAAAGCGTCCAAGGGCGCGTCGGGGGATCCCCTGGATGTAGATTCGGGAGTGTCGGAGCAGCCGGCGCCTAGGGGCAAGAAGAAGGCATCCGTCAAGACTAGGAAGGCCGGTGGGAAGAAGAAGGCACCCGCCAATACTAAGAAGACCGCCGGGAAGAAGGTGTCCGAGCCCGTGTCCGAGTTCGAGTCAGAGTCAGAGTCCGACACCACCCGTACGCTGCGGTCGGCCCGGAGGAAGGTGACTCCTGAGCAGAGGAAGAACCTTACCGAAATGTCGAAGTCGACATGCCCTGACCGGATCAAGGAGCGCGACGCCGCCTTCGCTGCCCACAACGAGTCTCTAAGAAGAGGGCGAGGCAGGCTGTCCTGGCCCAGGAAGGCGTTGAGGTAAGCAGTACAACGTTGTGGTGTGGTAATATCGTGTGTTCCGCCGATGACACCCAACTACCGACGATGTATCTGTCCGCGTAGTGCCGGCATGTGTGGAGTTCTACCCGTATTATATGGCCTCGGGTGGATCAGACGTAAATCACACTCCGGTTAAGTAGAACGCTATGCCACATAGTTGAACATAGGCCGCCTCTGTAGAGTCAAATCTCTGTGGCTACTGATTCACCGCATGCGAGGGTAACGTTCCAATAGAAATCTAACATCGGTGTACTCGAATTGCCCGCTCGCGTTGACGCGAAGGAGGCTACGCTGCTGAAGAGGAAGAAGGGGGAGGCGAAGAGCGCAACGGTTGCGGCCCAGAAGGCGAGTCTATGGTGGTAATAGTACGCTCTGTCGGGTCATGCCGCCATAGCATTTCCCCTAACCCTAGCTGAACGCCACGAGTCCAACCTACATTTTGGGAACGTATTGTGAATGGGAAAACGCGCTGGACACTCTTACTGAACGTCATTTGGGTAGCGCCAAGAGGGCTGGCTATTCTTGCGTGAGTTGGCAGGCACCCTAGACTACCTTACCTGAGAAAGGTGGTGCCACAAATCAAGCTGTAGGCCGCTGGTCGCCGGCGCCCTCTGCTCGTCTTGCGCAATGTCAATTCCAGGAGGGCGGCGCCCCCTGCGTGCCCCCCTCCAAAAGCCCGGGAGCCGCCGAATGTAGGGAAACCCACGTTAGACCATCGTGCACGTACACTCACCTTGCCTTCGCTGCTTTGATTATTTCACGGCGCCGACAATCCAAACGATACTTTACGTGATAGACTGTTATTGTTCCTTGATACTCGTCATGGTATCGGTATTAGGCCCGCACAACGAAGGAGACGCCTGCCCCAACTGCGGCCCGTCGCAACAACGACAAGAACGTTAAGGTAATGGTTGTGAGTTGTTGTTTTCGCCTTGCTCCTTCCTTAACGCTTCAATGGGCGCGTCCGAGTGATGCTGCCGGCCGAGAAGTAAATGACCGAAGCACAAACCCAAGGACAAGAAACTGTCAATATGTTTCCTATCTGTATCCTCGACATTGCCTCGCGCATCGTTACTGGTCTTCGTTTTGCAGGCGCCCCCCGGCACGAAGAAGCCAGCCGCAACACTCGGCCATTCTGCGGCGAAGAGCAAGAAAATTTCAACAAGGTATTGGGGGAGATGTGTTGTATTCGCCTTGACATTGATCCCCCTTCGGTGCTTCCGTTCTCGCGTCCGAATCATGCTCTAGGTCGAGAGCTGAAAAGCCGCAGCACGTCCCCAACACGAAGTGCATGTTCATGCCGTTTTCATCAGTATAGTTTACCTTGCCGCTCGTAGTTGCTCGTCTTCGTCTTGCAGGCGGCCCCTGGCACGAATAAGCCAGCCGAGAGGGCTGCCCCCGCCGCGGCGAACCTGGACCCAAGCAAGAATGATCAGGTAACTCCCCGAGATTATCGCGTTAGAGTCGTTGCTCCGGTTTAAGAGGGTTGCGTGACCAAGGTCCTCCGGACCCCCCTGTCATATCGGTTGTAAGAGGGTGCCGTCATATGTTGGGGCAATCTGTAGTAGGTAACCTCTTACACAGTGGAGATCGGGAATAACGACAGACACGGTATACTTGACTGCAGCCCAGCAATCCATATGCAACGTACTAGATCTATGTAAGGACGTGTGGTGGACTGTAAAGCGTGGGGTGAGCCGCTTGCCCGGTACGGCGTGCCCAGAGCAGCTCAGGTGTAGTGGTCGCCACGGTGACGCCTTCCATTTCATGTTCTGTTCATGTTATGGGGTGTAAACGCAGATGAAAATTGCCTCGAAGGCAAGCTGACATGGCGATTGATGCTAGGAGGCGAAGTACATTCATGTGGTCCATGCTTTTGGAACACATGCCGAGTAGTATAACACGATACAAAGACCCGACCACCTCTCCGGCCAGGAGCTATCTAACGGTTGTATTGCCCACCACGAACAGTGTACTTCGGCCTGCCGCAAACCATACGTCGCCTGCGACTTCTACTGATGCAGTGCGATAGTGTTGAAAGCACACGCATTACCTGCATTTGTCAATACTCCCCGCGTCTGCCTGCAGATTCTCTTGGTGTGGTTTCCATTATACCCTCCCTGATAGGATCGACACCGCTGATCACAGAGAATGCGACGGTACACGTGACTTGCACATACACGTGTTTGTTTACGAGTTATTTCATATCCTTGCATCCTCC